GTTACTTACCCTGATTAAAACCTGCACTCTTCAATATAACATTTATTTTGTTCGTGCTTACGAGCGTGAGAAGGTCGATATCGACGCGCTTGCCGGCGACCGTGAGCTGCAGCTTGTCGCCCTTGAAAATCTTGGGCACCGCCTCCTCTCCAAACATCTCCTGCAGCATTTCTATCGCGCACTCCTGATACAGTGCACAGAATATATTTACATAAGCATAATGAAACTATGTTAAAAGTGGGAAGTGCGGGCACACAGAATATGTTACCTTGAAGTGCATGCGGTCGAGTTTGGGTGCTAGAGGTGCGAGGCGGGGCGCGGGCAGAGCGGCGGCGGCCAGCACTGCAGCCGCCACCGCGTCCGCGTACATGTCGGTCACCGGCTGCGCCTGCCACTGCAATGCGAGCCGTGTGTCAGTGTGTGGGCGGGGCGCAGTGGGCGGGGCGAGGTGCGGGGGAGGGCGCGGTCACCTCCAGCGTGACGACGGGCGGGTCGAGGGTGAGGTCGAGGCAGCCGTAGAGCCTCCAGCGCGTGTCGCTGAGGAAGTCGACGTGCCCGGCGAGCTGCAGCACGGCGTGGCGGAGCAGCGCGGGCGTGCCGCCGAAGTGGATGGACTGGCGCTGCGTCACCTCCGACTGCGTCAGCTCCGTGTACTCTGCGGGAGAGGAGCGCATCACGTTACGTTGTGTAAGGCGAGCGGAGCAGACATATGTCCCGGTGGATGCGTCAAGTACTGACTGTTGAGGTCGGCGGGGGCGAGGATGTGGTAGTTGAAGTTGCGCTTGACGAGCACGCCCTGCAGCGGGCGGCCCGGCAGCGGCGGGTCCATGGCCAGCGAGCCCATGACCTTGGCGGTCCTGTCTCCGCGGAAGGCGAGGGTGAGGAGCTGCGTGTTGCGGGGCGTGTGCACCAGCAGCCGGCCGCGGTGCTCGCGCTGCAGCGCCCCGCGCAGCCGAGACATCTCGTTCTGCTCCCCGTGCACCAGGACCTGACACATCACACTCACATCTATACAGGTTCCGTAACTACTCGCACGTCCGACTGACCACAGTCGCTTTACCAACTACCTTTCTAATTTTTTTTATCTGCGATACGTTACTTGGAAATTCCAAAAGCTTTTACGATTCATTAACAGACGCGTTTCTGACTCCACAAATCAGTCCATACTACAGCAAGTCTTGAAAATAATAAAAAATGTCAAAGTGAGTCATTCAATGAAAGTTAACAATTTAGAATGAACATCTGTAGGTACGTGACGCGGACAGTCGTGATGTCAGTGATTTCAGTGATGTCAGTGATGCCAGTGATGTCAGTGATGTCAGTGATGTCAGTGATGCCAGTGATGTCAGTGATGTCAGTGATGGACAAAACGTGTACTGACGACGTGCGGCGGCTTCAGTATGTTGATGAACTCTGAGGTCTGCTGGTAGTCAGTGTGCGCGGAGAAGGAGATGTAGTCCACCGACATCTTCAGCGGCAGCTTCTGTCCCGACATCGAGGTGATCTCCTCCGGCTCCGACAGGATCGTCTTCGCCAACGTGCCCTCCACGCAGTACCCTGCGCCACAACATATACCGAATAACCAAACCAAACTTCTTTCTTCTTCAAAAAATAACATATTAGAAAAATAATAATTAATTCACAAAAGCTAGATTTATACATAAAGATATCTTCATTGCCCACTTTTTAAATATCAAAGCTATGAACAATGTTGCCTGAACAATTTTCGCCCTTTATCAAAACTGGGAAAACTGCAATAGTACGAAACGTGCTGTGTGTGTATGGGTGATATATGGACCTGCAATGATGACACCGTTCTTGGGGTCCGTGCACCAGGACTCGAAGAGCTCACGCGACAGCCCGGACTGCATCATGCCTGGCGACGCCATGATCACACACGGACCGATGTCCTCGAAGTGATCGATGCCCTGTAAAATATCGTACTCAAAAATTCCTAATCACCATATACATAGTTATAATTTTAGTGCTTTTCAATATCTTGACATTTTTTAAATAAGGAAATAATGGAAAGGGTATGGATTTCGCGGGAGAAATCATGTATAAAGGTAAGCATACTGCAACTTTTAGATGAATTCTTGTATTTTAAGAATCATAATAAAATAAAATCAAATGTATGATATAATATTTATCTCTGTTATCTCCCTCCGATAAAAGATTCGATAATTATTCAGAGACCAGGTGTCTTATAGCGTCACAACATTTTTGATAGAGTTTTTTAATGATGATTATATTATTGAACCAAACACCTTTACACCTCTAGTAATAAGACATATTTTAGCCTAACGCATACTGTTATGCGTTACAATGATTCATACTTTACTGTAGCTTTCAAGGTCAATATACGATTTTGGAGAATTCGCATCAACGTTTAGAAGTACTTTTATATAATTTCAATAAGCCGTTACGTTATCTATAAAACACAACTTAGATATATATTTTACACAAATTACCCTGGTTTTATATATTTTTAAATAAATAGTTCAGAAGTAATCTACATTCATGATTATGTGAAATGGAACGCAATTTGTTTAATTATGTCATTGTTATTTTTTATCTGTTACGATAGCCGACAACCGGCTAAAGTATTTAGGTATTCTGATTTAAATCGTCGACAATTTGTTTTTAAAATAACTTTTATAAGTTCGTTGCGGCATTTTTGGCGGGAAGACGTGTATAAGAAATAATAATGTATCGACATTATCTATAAGACAAATTATACAACCTTATCGAGACATAGATAAAAAAATAATTAGTTGCCGTGAGGGAATACTGTTATAGGTCATACTAATTTATATGCGGTGAGTTATCATGCTACTTTCACGTAAAAACATCTATGAAATTTAAAATTTGTCCACACTTTATTATAGATAGATATACTTATATGAATTTATTTGTGCATATTTTCCTCTTTAAAATCTTATTTTATTGTAGTAATTTTCAATAATTTTACACAAAGTTTTATAAATATATCTTGTAAAACTAGTCAAAACTAAATAAATTATCATTATTTAATCATCAGCAATGATTCCTGAGGCTCTAAAGCAGCGGCTGGTGACATGGCTGGAGGAGCACCGCGAGCTGGTGGTACTGGTGTTCTGTCTACCGGCCAGCTTCCTCTTCACCCTGCTGCTGAGAGCAAGGGCTTGGCTGCGGAGTCTGGGCACCGGCCCCGACCATGACACCGCCGTCAGAGAGATACAGAGAAGGGTAAGGGTACTTCCAAAGATTACTACCAAAATTTTACAGATAACACGACTAAATAAAATAAAAACGGAAACTGTCGTTACATTGCTAATGATGTTATGGCCATAGTTTTGTTCGAATTTGGAATACTAAACGATCACAAGAGTAGCTATGAGTATTATTTCCAGGTACAAGAGTGGAACAAGATGGCGGTGAAGGAGCGACGTCTCCTGTGCACCGCGAGACCGAACTGGCTGTCTCTGTCGACGACGTTTTTCCAGAAGCACCTGCACCACCGCGTGCCGGTGCCGCTGTACGATATCCTCGAGCTGGACGAGTGCGCCATGACCGTCCGCGTCGCGCCCATGGTCACCATAGGAGACATCACAGAGTATCTCATACCGAAGGGGTACTCTTTGGCGGTGACTATAGAGCTGGTGGACGCCACCTTAGGAGGTCAGGACATAGTCATATGACTATAGAATTGACGTATTTTCAAACGGTTATCGTAATTATGTGTTGTTTTCAGGTCTCGCGATGGGCACGGGCATGTCGACACACTCGCACAAGGCGGGGCTGTACCACGAGACCGTCACCAGCTACGAGGTGGTGCTGGCCGACGGCTCCCTGGTCACCGCCACCGCCACCAACGAGCACGCGGACCTGTACAGGGCGCTGCCCTGGTCGCACGGCAGCCTCGGCTTCTTAGTCGCATTGACCTTGAGGATCGTCAAGGTCAAACCATATATTAAGTTGAAGTATACCCCAGTCAGGGGCCAGAAGACCTACTGCGACATGATCAGAGATCTATCTGGGGCTAATTCGGCAAACCCTGCGGTGCACCCAGACTACATTGAAGGTACTATATTTAGCAAGGACAGCGCTGTCATCATGACCGGTGACTACTCGGAGTACGAGCCGCAAATCCCAGTGAACCGCTGCTCGAGGTGGTACAAGCCCTGGTTCTACAAACACGTGGAATCGTTCCTCACTAAGGGAGAAGGTGTCGAGCTGATACCCCTGCGCGACTACCTGCTGAGGCACAACCGAGCTATCTTCTGGGTGGTCGAGGACATGCTGTCGTTCGGCAACGATCCCGTCTTCAGAACATTATTCGGCTGGCTGCTGCCTCCGAAGCCGGCCTTCCTCAAGTTCACCACGACTCCCGGAGTGCGCGCCTACACCTTCACCAAGCAGGTGTTCCAAGATATAGTTCTACCTATAACCGAGCTGGAGAAGCAGATCGAGGTGGCCAGCGTGTTGTTTGAGAAATTTCCATTGTTGGTGTACCCGTGCAAAATTATCGATCACGGTCCATCGTCGGGTCAACTCAAACATCCCGATAAGAAATACCTGGTACCGGGTACAAGTTACGCGATGTACAATGATCTAGGAGTGTACGGTGTACCTGGTAAAGTGAAAGAGAAGAAGTCTTACAACCCCGTAACCGCAATGAGGGAAATGGAGAAGTTCACCAGAGAAGTGGGAGGTTACTCGTTCCTGTACGCAGACATCTTCATGACTAGAGAAGAATTTGAGGAAATGTTCGATCTGACGCTGTACGAGGAAGTGAGGAAGAAGTACAAAGCGGAGGGCGCGTTCCCACATCTGTATGATAAAGTGAAACCGGAGCTGGATGTGTTCAGTATCGGGGAGCAGAATGCAACATAACATTTCTAATTTTAAAATACATTAATATAAGTAAAAGCACAATAAGTAAATAGATTTAAATAAACTAAAATCTTACTATTACTAATATTATTATATTATATTATAAATGCGAATATTTGGATGGATGGATGGATGTTTGTTTGAAGGTATCTCCAGAATGTCTGCATGGATTTAGCTGAAATTTGGCCTAGACGTAGAACATAGTCTGTAAGAACATATAGGCCGCTAATATTTTATATTTTAATTTGTCGGGGACGGAGTCGCAGGCGTCAGCTAGTGTGAAATAATTGATGAGAAAGAGCTGGAACAATAGTATGTACCTTGAGGTTGGAGATGTGTCGGAAGACGAAGGGGTTGTTGACGGCGATCTGCCTGCGGATGCGGTCGTTCATGGCGTTCACGTAGGTCTGGTACACCGCCATGCACTTCTTGGCCAGCGAGGAGGCGTAGTAGATGGGGATGTCCTGCAGCTCGGGGTGCAGCGACCAGTACTCGTCTGACACAATTCACAATCTATACTGTAATGCTGCTGAACATTCTTCAGTATCCTGGGAACTTTAACTCTTATGACCACTATTTACATCATCGTATTGTTTTTTTTTATATTATGCATTTTAAGAAAAAGGTGGAAAGGGAAAGAAAGAGGACCCTAATTAGGCATCCTGCACACACACTTATCGGACTGTAAGACTTGAGAGAATAATAAATAAGATATAGAGTAGCAGTAGCATAGCAGGCAATGAGACTGACCGAGTATGAGCAGCAGCTCCTGCGCGCGGCCGAGCGCGAACACGGGGATGAGGCAGCGTCCGCCGCGCGTCACTATGTCGTTCACCAGCCCCGTGAACCTGCTCTCCCGCTCCTCGCGCTTCTCGTGTATGTGCGTGCCGTATGTTGACTCCTGCACACGCACACATCTCATTCACCACCCACACTACACCACTGGTTACACTAATGCACATCACCTTTCTTCCACACATTGCAATAGTATCAATAAAAGTACATACTGTAATGAGCACGTCCGGATGTACTGTTGGAATCTCAGCAGCCATTAGATGACGATCTTCCTGTCTTGAGAAGTCTCCAGTATAAAGAATCTAATAAAAAAATTGCATTTTATCAACCATTTTTCCATTTTTAACTAGGTAAGACAAATCATAGTTCTATTACAGTCACAATCAATCTAGCACAAATGGTACTTATATGTTGCTTACGAAAGCTAGTCGCATCAGTGGAAAAAGAGTTTAAATGTAACTTAAAAACAGATACAAGGTATACCTTCACTCCAGCGATTTCTATCATAAACATGGCTGCACCGAGCACGTGACCCGCGTTGTACGCCCAGAAGCGCACGCCGCGGACATCCTTCTCCTCGTGGAAGTTGATAGTCTCTATGCGGTCCATTGAACCCTCCAAGTCAGACTCCGTGTACAACATTTGTTCCGTTGATATGTTGCTATAAATTATAAACACATTTCAAATTTGAAACATATTACATCATTGAATGAATAATTGAATTATTTGTATAAATAAGTAACAGAAAAGAAGGATAATTTAAGAAAGGAGACACATTAGTATAGACAATAATCTTACTAATATTATAAATGCAAGTGTTTGGATGGACAAATGTTTGTTAGAAGGTATCTCCAGAACAGCTGCATGAATCTCATGGAAATTTGGCAAAGATGTAAAAAATGTGTACATATAAGCTATGAATTCATTTAATTTAAATTATGCGTGGACAGTCATGGGAGACAACTAGTGTACCACAATTAAGTTTTTGTTAGGTAGAGACAGTATAGGTGCGCTTTCTACATAACAGTTAGTAACAATCTCACCTGACTTTGATATAATCGGAGACCAGCCACCTGTAAATGGCTTTTGTGGCATGTGTCATGAACACTCTGCCCTTGAAAGAGGTCTTTGTTAAGAACCAGGGGAGGGCGCCACTGTGGTCCAAATGGAAACTGAAAATTATTACAATACTTTATGTAACATTCTTAGTAACAATTGTTCAAAGTAAATTCCATTTATGTTATGTCTATTTAGCTTATTTTTATTTACTAATAAAAATATTTCATCTATACTAATATTAAAAAGAGGTAAGATTTGATTGTTTGCTTGTTTATAATACATTAATCAGGTGCCGAAACTACTGAACCAATTTGAAAAATTCTCTCACTGTTGGGAAGTCCAGTATCGCCAGGTGCTAAGGGCTTCATTTATTACAAGTTTTTTTTTATTACCCACAGACAAAGTTGTGAGCAACAGACAAAGTCGCGAGTGAAATATTTATTTATGAACACTTACTGTGATATCAGAAGCAAGTCAACTTCATCAGCTTCTATCAAATCCACAAAAGGCAGAGCATCCATTCCTGAAAGGCCAGGATGAATACCACAGTCCAACTAAAACAATAAATCAAAATTTACTACATATACCTTCAGCATACTTAAATATTGATGTACTAAGTCAGCACTCACCATAATCTTTTTTCCTTTGAATTCCAACATGATACATGATCTTCCTACTTCTTGGCCAGCACCTCTGTAATATTTTTTTTATGAGTAACATTTATTAAAATTTAACCTCGTGTGCGTACACCATGTGATTAGGATAAGGAAAGGGAATTATTTGAATGGTAAATAATCATTGGTATCTTTTGATGTAGAAGTATTTTATTGTCTTAGTACGAAAAAAAATATTAACACAATAACTAAGAAACCAGATCCAGGGCGTAATTGGATTATGTTCAAAAAGATCATTTATAAATTGTGGTGAAACCCAAACTTAAACTAAATAGAAATTTAGGAAACAAATATTTACAAAGGACGTATAGTAAGCTGGTCACTTTCTTCGATAGGCGCTTGGTCAGTGCCCTTTCTAGGATTTGTAGTCATTTTAGCTCCTTATTCTCAAATTATCATTTCATTTACGGCAAGAAAAATATCTCTTCTTTTCTAAAATAAACATAAATTGACACACAAACAAGTAAGCAGCGGTAAAATTTTAGGTTAATAGAGATGCGCCACGTTCTGTTCTTTATAATGACAATGACATAACCGATCGACTGAAAACCGGTATAAAAGATTCATTGATTTTTTTTCAAGAAATGTGTCTAATTTAGAATTTGCAAGTCGCAACAATTTGCAATTGTTGAAATTAACACATTAATTAAAGTCATTTTTTAACGTACGTAAGTGCTTGTGCCGCACTGAGTAACCTGGAATTTAAAAAAATAATAATTTGACATCCAAATTGACATGTGTCAACATGTGTTGTAGTGAGAAATTAGGTTACTTTTTTGTTGACAAAGTTATTCTTTAACGTATGAATTCATGAATAAAAATGCCAAAAAATAAATTATTTGATGAAGATTCCGATGAGGAAGTGGCTATTAAAACTGAAAATGAATACGCCAAAAGATATGATGCTTGGCGGGAGAAGGAAGAAAAATATAAATGTGAGATGTTTACTACATTTACTATGATTTTTTTACTACTGGTATAGTTGCTATTTAGATTTAAAATAAAATTTACTAATTTATGTTTTCAGTAGAGCAAAAATATGGGTCTAAAGCGTTAAATTCTGATGCGTCAATTTCATCGGACAGCGAAGATGAGAGCGATGAACCATTGGAAGTATCAGAAGAAACTGAGACGCAATTCCTGAAGACCCTCGCTCTGTTAAAAACAAAAGACCCGAGAATATATGACCCTGGTTATAAGTTCTTTGATGAAAAAGTTGAAAAGGAAAAAGGTATAAAGTTGACAATACTACTACTAACTAATACTAAGCTATTAGTAGTGAGCTGAACAGTCTGCTTTTTACAGAGTAAATTAATTTCACAATATAAATATTTTTAATTTTCAAATGTAACTGAATCAGCTCTATCACAGGAGTTCCGATAAAATAGTTTATAAAGATAAAATTTGCTAAAAATTACTTTAACACTTTAATTTCAGAGAAGGATGACCAGAAGAAGAAAGTGGTGTTCACAGACAGTGATGATGATGATGATGATGACAGCGGCAACATATTCAGCATTGAGAAAAAAGCCGAAGTTGATGAGGAAAAACAGGAACAGGAACACAATAAAGTAATAAACATTTTTTAACTTAAATACAAATTAATTTATTCAGTGAATTTGTACAAAATTCTTTTATTACAATGAAAATAAAAACATTAATTCCAAGTTTACTTGATTGCTTACCATAGTAAAAATGTTATAGTATTTATGAAGTACAATATTTTTTCATTATTCAGGATGGCAAATTAAAGGACTATCTCCTAGGCAAAGTGGAACATGTTGAAGAGGATGTGGAGAAAGAACTGGCTCCTCTGAAAGCTCTGTGGTCCGACCCCAAGCTTAATGAGGGAGAAGCTTTCCTCAGAGATTACATATTAAACAAAAGGTATGATGTCAACTGATAATCAATTAATTTTATGTCACTGTCACAAAGAACAGTTGCCAAATATTGGTCAAATAATTTACACTACAGAGAATTACAATGGAACTAACTCCAAAATATGATATCCTCTTTTGGCAATTTAGTAATAACCATAAAAATATATTATTTTAAAACCTCAATGAAAACCATTATGAGTTTTCGTTTTCCATTTCACTCCAATTCCATATCAAGGCACAAGTTATTTTATAAAATACTTTAGTTACTCTCATTTCACGCATTGGCTCAGGTACCTGGAGGAGGGAGATGCTGGACCGGCGGGGGACAAACTGCGCGATGATGCCGACCTGGAGGCTGATGAGGAAATAGTGGAGGAGCAGGGCAAGTTTGAGCGAGCATATAACTTCAGATTTGAAGAGCCTGATGATGAATATGTCAGTTACCTATCTTATCTATTCTATCCTTTCATTCTCCTTGAAAAATGTAGACATAAATATTTTTTGGATATAAAGAAGAAGTACTTTTTTCATTATATTTAGTACATTTTCATGATAATTAAGTGAAAGTAGGCTTTGACTTGTTATATATATATTAAACAAACTATCCTATAGTTTATTTAGATAATATTTTTGTGATTTGAATGCCTTTCTATATGTTTCCAGTTGAAACGTTTCCCGAGAACTATGAACTACATCAGGCCAAAGGACGACAAGCGGTCTCGGAAGCGCGCGGAGGTGCGCGCGCGCAAGGAGGCGGAGAAACGCAGCAAGATGGAGGAGATCGCGCGGCTGAAGGCGCTCAAACTGAAGGAGGTGCAGGAAAAGATCGCCAAGCTGAAGGAAGTCACCGGCAACCAGGAACTGGCGTTTAATGTAAGTTTACAGTGTACTTACCTGCAGGGAAAATACTCGAAATACTGTAAACAGATTTTATTAAATTGTACTTAAAAGAAGCAAAACAGCCAACAAAGATTTTGAAAATTTTAAAAATAAATAATGCTGCTAAAACCAAAATAAATAGTATGCTTTAATTGTATGGCGTTAATATCTTTGTGTTTATGTTTACCCTGTCTATATGTTTACTTAGGATGAAGACATAGAGGGAGACTTCGACCCCGAGGAGCACGACCGGCGCATGCGCGCTATATTCGACGAGCAGTACTATGGAGACGCGGACGACAAGAAGCCTGAATTTCCAGACCTGGACGAGGAATTGGAGATCGGTGAGGACAATCATATATATAGGTTTTAACTGGATTTTCAAATTTGCAACAATATTGCATTACAAAAAGATATAAACGTATAAATGTAACGTAAAAAATTAATTTTATCCAATTGCAGAAAATTGGGAGAAGTACGAAGATGAGTTTGGTCAAGGTGAGGTGGGGGAGGCTGAGGGCCCTCACTGCGAGGATGAAGACTTTAATGTAGGTATTCACACTCCTATAGAAAAATATTTGTAATATAACTTTCTCAAGTTGAAAGTTAAAGTTGCGTTATGGTCGATACAAAAATCTATCTCTTCCGTATCCAGATGGACGCGGACTACGATCCGAAGAAAGCGCGAGAGAATCTTCTAGAAGAATTGAAACGTGGTATGGGAAAGAAGCGTAGGAATAGAAAGAAGAAGTCCAAGCTCGCTCAGCTGCTGGAAGAGGAGAAGCCCAAATTCATCCCCGAAGCGGAGAGAAGTTACGCGCAGTTCATGGAGGAGTACTACAAAATGGATTGTGAGGATGTTATCGGAGGAGATCTGCCCACCAGGTTCAAGTACAGAGAAGTGGTGCCCAATGACTACGGACTCTCTATTGAGGAGGTAAAGTCGATAAACATTCTTATATTTTAGGTTACAGTAGCAGAACCCTGTTGAGCCAAAAATAATTTTGCAAATCTGGAATTTTAAAAGGACGCAAATTTATTACTTTATTGATAACTAGGAACATCAAAAACAAATGTTGGCAATTAATGCAACCTGCTTTATTTTTTTTTGCCGCCCTTGCGTTTTCATTTCATTTCTCCTTCCCATCATTTCCTTATAAGGTGAGACTAAATTTAATAATTCGTTGTTTCTAGATCCTTCTAGCAGACGACAAAGAGTTGACGCAGTGGGTGCCGCTCAAGAAGATCGTGAAGCACCGCCCGCCCGCTGCGGAGAAGGGCGAGGTGAAGACTTACGCTATCAAGGCCGCAGACCAGCAGCTCAAGAAGAAAATATTGCCCAGTCTGTTTAAAGAATTACCACAGTGAGTAGACAAAGCCGGTTTATCTTGCAATTTTACTTTTAGTACGTAAAAATATAGTGCCATGAAACATGTTAAATTTCCCTTTAACATTGTTAATCCTTAAAAAATGTAAATATGTTTTATTGCAGAGAACCAGAATTAGTAGTACCAGTAGAAGCTAGCAAAAAGAAAAAGAAGAAGAAGAAGAAGAAAGCAAAAGAAAATGTGGTGGAAAACAAAGAAGTTGATGAAGACGAGGTAAAAGAAAACAACACTGAAAATAATGATGACAAAATAGATGTAAAAGTTAAACATAAAAACGAGAAATCAAAGGAAAATGATGTTAACAATGTCAAAAGTGAGGAAAGTGTCACGAAAACAGATGTAGTCAGCGAAGTTGAAGAAACCACAGAAAATACAGAAGTTAAAAGTAAAAAGAAGAAAAAGAAAAAAGGAGACCAACATATGGAAGATCTCAAAAGTACTGAAGTAGAAGAAAGTAAAAGTACTGATAAAGTTTTGGGAGAAAAGAAAAAGAAACATAAAATTAACTTTGTTGTTGAAAGTGTATCTAAAGATGAAGAGCCAAGTACATCAAGTGATGTAGCACTAAATTTCCTTTCTAAAGGAAAAAAGAGCAAGACAAATTCGATAACAGAAAAACCCGAACCGCAAGGTGGTAAATTAAAAAGAAAATCGGAGCCAAACTCAAATGAGTCAAGTGAAGTTCCGAACAAGAAAAACAAACCTAATCAAACGAATGGAAATGCGTTTAATAAAAATAAAAAGCAAATTAAAAAGAAAAATAAGGGTAAAGGCAAACAAGATGAAAAACCAGGCAATCCACTGAACAAGTTGTCAGACGAGAGACTCAAAGCTTATGGATTGAACCCTAAGAAGTACAGAGGTTTCTTAAAATATAAAAAGTTTTAATTGTCCAAATCGTCATAATTTATAAGAATATGCATATTTTGTGCCTTTATCAATATTGTGTATAAATAGTGAATATTCAAATTGTTTTATTTCTCATTCTTCTGCTTTCGAAAATATTACGAAGATTTTTATTAAAACTGGAAGTATTATAATAATCTTTAGTGCCATCGTAATTTTGCTTCATTCTCAAAATTCATATTTTACAATATGACAACCACCCACTTTGTTCACATTGCATCTGCAGAACTCCTTATATTCCAAATAGCCTCTGATTTGAGATATTTGTATCCATTGCAATTTACATTTAATTTCAACTTTTACTATTCCAACCTCATCAAGAAAGTATAAATTTATTTAGTTTTATGTCTAAGACCTTGCTCAACAGACTGTGTACTTCTGTTCACTGACATTGTAGTATCACCATTCAGGTCAGGCCATCTGTGCAGAAGCTTGTTTACATATATCTTAATAGGGAAAAGATGTAAGAAAAACCAATATGTACTGTACAATTATAAATTTATTGTTTAATCTTCTTCGTCATCGTTAGCAGCACCGCCAGACTGACCCTTGCGGAGGTTCTTGCGCTTGACGCGACCGGGGCGGCCGCCACCGAACGGCGACTTGAGCGAGAAGTCAATGTGCTTGCCAGAGTCCAGCCGCACCACAAATGACGGGATGTTCACCACCTGCTTGCGTACACTGACAAACAAATAACAAATATTATTTACTGATCTTCAAGCATATTTCCCAGAAGCAAATTTACTAAGGATATACTTTACAAGATAATATGTTTTTTAAACATCATCACAAGTTATCATACATTACCTCAGAACAGCTTGTAACAAGCATAAATTTCAAGACATTGAACTGAGCACAAGGCTGTTCAAGTGGTCTTTAAGAATACATTTGCAAAGTCAGCAACCAGCCAACACACTAGTTGAAATGTTTTTGCTCAACATCTCGGCATATCTTCAATTCCTTCGCTGCTCTTTGGCAAAAATGCTATCTGTTACAAACAGAGCTTGTTTCAGAGCACCAACCAATAATAACCACATTCAAAAATTCCTCATATAGCAGCTTTCAATTTAATATAGAGTATTGCAATAAGTTATTTTTATAAAAACTCCATTATATAATACAAATGGATTATTAACCTTTTGAAACAATTTCTGAACATTTTGTAATAAACTAATATATTTTTAAAATATTTCACCCACTCACCGGATGTGCCTCTGTCGGATAAGAATACGAGCATGATGTATAGACTTGGCGAGACCAGCCTTGAAGACCTGTGTCTGCAGCCTGCGCTCCAAAAAATCCTCAATCTTGAGGCCCAGCACATAATCCAGCTTCATCTGCTTCTCATCCAGCACTCCAATCCTCACCAGACGACGAAGCAATGCATTACCTGTACAAAAGGATATCAATGTAATCGGAACTATTGTGTTTCCATCATTAGGTGTTTAAGAATTTATGTCAGTGGTAAATGATATCAACATAAGTTTTATCTGCCAAGAGGTTGCCAAAATCATCATTAAAATAAATATTGACATCCGAGCGAAATTAGGTAAAAACGTAATTAAACAACACATATATATACATACATCTATGCCAAATATCAGAGATACATGCAGCCATTCTTGAGATACCAAGATATCAAACTTCTGTCTACACATACAAACATTCGCATTTATATTAAGTAAGAATAATATAATCCTATTATTTTCATACTAAAGTAAAGGTTAAAAAGTTTTTTACATTCTAGTTTTCAATGAATATTGGTTGTTTAACCTGCCTTCCGACATCATGAAAATAAACATGTCACACAATAATAAAAAACGCCGGGCTCACGTGGTAAAACTAACCTTCAAAAAGCCTTTTAGGGTCTTTCTCCTCCAGCGTTAGCAGTTCTCTGGCAGCCTTACGGATGCGGGCAAGCGTATACTTCACCCTCCACACTTCACGTTTGTTACGGAGACCATATTCACCGATGATCTTCAATTCCTGGTCCAAGCGCGCCTTTTCGAAAGGCCGCCTCGGGGTTACGTAGGTCTTAGAGAAGACCGAGGGCACTCGGTTGTTCACCATGATGGCGAGCTAAAATAAAATAATAAATCAAAATTTGATTGTATTGAACATTTTTTTAAATGTTTTTTTTGGCTAGTTTGTCGCCACTAGGTGTTGCAAGAGTACAATCATAGGTCAAATCGATTAAAATAACACCTTGAGCGTAAGTTACTCTTGGGAATCAACACACATGGCATTATTGTAGCCTTGTTATCCACACATGACGGCTATGGAGATCGCCATGTTCTACTGTAAGGCAAAATAAGACGAATATTAAATCTGCTTACATCGCAACGACAGCAGCAAAGTAATGAACAATATTAAGAGGTAATGAATATAAACATACATTTGGGCTAATTTATAATTGATTTCAATTTTCAACTAGTACAATTTCAAATTAATCAATCCGTGTTAAAACATTTACAAACCTTCTTCCAAGACCGCTCGCCGTAAAAAGAGAGGTGTCAAGAGTGACAGCGACAGCGATCCCAGCGACTAACCAGCGACAACCAAAGAGCAAAGGCAAAGAGTATATAAACGACATCAAATAGAATTAACAGTATTGTCAAAAGTTGTTTATGATCAATCAATGACAAATCGATATCGAAAAATAGTAAAAATGAAAATACCGAAAAAATCGACATTTTTCGACAACAACGCAACTCGAACTCTACTCTCTAGGGAAGAGTTCGACTACAACGAAACTCGAACTCTTCTCTCTAGAGAAGAGAGAAGCAAACTTCAAAAAATTGCTGCCGTTATACAAATATGCTATTTTCCCCGAGGACGAAGAAAGACGAAAATCAGTACTTGTTCATTTAGAAAGACAAGCATATCTGACACGGTGAGCATAAGTCAAATTAAAATAAAGTCCCACAAGTTTCAAGGGTTACCAGTGAGCACGTATTTCCTAACTTCTTTGGAAGTATTTTTCTATTAAATTAACTTATCCAAACAGATTAACAAATTATCCTATATGTCATAACATCATGCGTGATATTTTTATGGAATTTCGAAATTATAAAAAAAGGCAAAATGACAATGAAAAGGGTTGCTAGCAGTTGCTAGACCCACATTGGTGAAAATATGTTGCTCTTTGTTTTAAAGGCCATTTGTCTATTTCAATAAAAATCTCAGATACTGTGTTACATTTATTTTAAGTTTTTAACATCAGGTCATTTTATTCTGTGCCTATTTGATTTTCTCCATTTTGTACTTAAAAAATATTTCGCGATGGTTTGACAGAATTAACCAAAATTAACTGTTGAACTTAAAAATAACATAGCAACTCAATTAGGTATGTGTGATTTGCGTATTAAGAACAGTTTTTTCTTCGACCCCGGGGTCAGATCGACTCCTGCTTTTGTCAAAAAGCCTTAGGGGTCTATATAGACCACTTTGGCCTCTGATTTAAATAGTCATCATTTCTTCAAGCGCCTTTCCAAAAGCAATTTAGCATACATTCATCTCTAGCGAGTTCGATCTGTTTGACGTTACTCTATTCGTTTACGTAAGCATAACTTTTGCTAAGACCAACATTTCAAATCACAATAGTCAATCATATTACAATGTAGCTAAGACAAAAACTAAATTAAAACGTAGTTCTCACAGTTGTTCTTACTATTTAAAATTTACATTAACAAATGTATTTTATTATCTAACAACTAGCGACCCGCTTCGGTTTCGCCCGGACGGCAAAGGTTTTATGTCGTTTATTTTTCTGACATGCCAGTAGTACCCTTAATCACCTTACCTATACTTACTATTTACTTACTCTTTGCACTTACAGGGGATTCCCGCCTAATGTGTATTATAGGAGAAACACATTTATTTAGGATTTAAGGAATAATTTTAAAACCAATAAATTAGCGATGAAAATGAGGTGCGACATTTAATTGTATTTGCAAAAAATATTATTGTGAGGATACCTTTTTTTAGCTTTTTAATATCGAATGGCTAAATAAATCAAACAAGGAAAATTTAAATGGGTTTGGAAATATTTTACATTCTTTAATGATGATACATACAAACTGTTCGGAATAAATTATCTACATGATCATGGAAACCGTTTTTTCCGTGGAATGTGAGAACCTACCAGCCAAACAGGGGTTTGGTTAAACGTCTCTGTTGTATAAGATTTGTAGATTATTGATGTAGATTAGATAAATATTTATTAATAACCCCACCTTCATTTTTTATTCTAATTTTTACGAGTTAATGATGTTCCAGCAAACCAGTTCTCACTGTGTAATATATTTAGGGCCGTGAGTCGCGACGCATACAATACGTTAGTTTAGTGAAAAAACGCGTTTGCAATGATTGTATTTTATTGTATATTTTTAATTATTTTTCCTTGCGAAGCTATTGTTCTTCAATTGAATGGTGAGAGTTGATTTTAAGTAATTATTTTAGCCTTATTCAATAATTTTAAATTTTCTGTAAAATTTATAGCCACGAAATAAATGTATAAAGGGGACCATGAAAAAGAGTTACTACTTATAGTTATTAGCAATTTTTGGTGATTTCAGAATTATTTTTTTTAATTTTGCTTTTTATCTGTGCCATTATGCCAGTCCTAATTTTTAATTATTTTTTAATTCTAACACCTCAGCCTGCCAGTTATCAAGCTATACTCACTTAAAACTTGTCGTGAACCCTTTGACACTCTCAACTTTGACTGACGAATCTCTTAGGGTTCGCGTACTCCACTTTTAGAAACCCAGACCCATATAACTGCCTTAGAAATTATACAATACTAGTTACCGGTGCTTACGATTTCGTTAAATCCGATTCTGTTTGTATTTAGATACAGAATATGACCGTATGCCGGCGATCTTCGGCCTGGAGCCATACCACGCATGTCTGCGTCCAGAGGACGGCGTCTACTGTCTATTTCGAGTAGACCTCCACGCTGATGAAGACAACGAGCTGATGCAGCTTATTCGTGTTAGTACAAGATACAATAACGCTTTTAATTTTTTTTTCATTCATTCCAATCCGAACACGAAATGTTTTCACCAAAAATTGCACGTTTCTCGCTAAGACTCGTAAATTCCTATAATTATCTGGTAACTCCTCACATAATTATATTATATTATTAAAGCTTCCTTTATATTGTTTCAATTACAATATTATTTTACTTTAGCGCAATGGCCGCTATATGCATAGCAGAATTTGACGTTCCTCCGTTTACTTAATTTCAGCATTTGGTTGAAATGAAATAGAACAAGGGCTTCGCTTACCGTAATCACGAGTATATTTAAATTTCAAAGGCTGTTGATGAATATGTAACTCATCTCTTATGGTACTAAACATCTAGGTAAATAAAAATGTGACCCGACGACAATCTTTAGCTTGTTTTCGAATATAAAAAAAAGATTCATTAAAAGCGGTGTAATCGCCGTATCATCAATACATCTAAACCTTATTTGGCGGTGGTTCGGAGTACATTCACTTTTTAAAGGACAAGGTCACTTATATTGATATTATTCCTTTATCGTCTTTCGATTTAATTTGACAAAATTAATTTTAGTAATGCTAATATTATTTTGCTTCTTTAATTCGTCTTCAACGTTGAAGGGCTGACTGCCAGCTCTAAGGTAGGGGTGACTATGCAATAATCAAATTCGCTAGCCTAGTAACTTCGCAAATATCGAATCACATTGGCGCATAGCAGGGATCGGAACTTCACGTTTTAATAACGATTTGGTCCAGTCAAGCACTAATATAAATATATTATATATATTGTTGTTAAATAACAACAATAATTTGAAGCGTCAATAGCCTAATGGTTAAGGGTACGGATTTCCGATCACGAGGTCGGGGGTTCGAATCCCGCCATTCGACTATTGTCGTAAACCATATCCTAGCACAAGCATACAGCTTAGTTTGGAATGGTAAAAGAAATATTAGTTAATTTACAAAAATTTGCTAATATTAAAAAAAAAATACTGCACTCAATATTAATTACAATCATTACAGGGTTACTCGGAACATACAGTGAAACATTATAATTATACATATATACAAAGAGGTGTTTGCGTGTCCACTACATGCCGTCATTTTATGCAGAACAAAACTGAAGAACTAAGTAGAGTTGAAGATGTTGGTGGTATCATCGAGAGATGCTTCAATGATTCATTGTTCAAACAGTACGGGCTGCAAGCGAAGCAATCCACTGTATACAATTGTGACAAACATAATGAAGAAATTACATACGATATGTTAGATTGCATTGTGGCGATATGTTTTCTTATTATTTTAGCTTTTAACATAGCTGGAAGTTGTTACGATTACTTCTATCTGTCCAAAATGGAAAAAAATAATAAAGGTAATTAATTACATTTTGGCATTTTTATGTTAATAATACAGAACAAATATTATATTGTTGTTTGATGTTGTTTTTTTAGTTTAATAATGGTAGACGCCAGCAACAACATTGAATTAAAAAATTTATTACAGAAAATCGATTTTTATCATCTTTCTCGATCTTTCGTAATTGGAAATGGCTGACGGAGTACAGAGCTTCGGACCCGAGGATGGAGAAACTGAAAGGATTCCACTTTGTTAAGTAAATACTCGAAAATAACACAATTACACACAATACCTCGGCTGTGTCACATAAAACTCCGAGAGGTTTCTAATTTTGTCAAATGATTTTTGTTTGTTTCAGATGTATACTAACGTTTTTCATAATGTTTGACCACTGCGCGTGGATCAATACCACATATACTGACTATCCGTTAGATTATGAGCGAGTAAGATGAATCTATTCATTTTCAATAACAAAAACTCTGTTAAATTAAATAAATAAGTATATTAAAACATTCTTTATAATTCCTTACCTAAGTAAGTTTGAAGATTAAACAAATATTTTTCTCGTAATGCCATTTTTATAGCAAAAGGTAGAAAACGAGCAGTTACTTGAATTCGCCAAAAAAGCGCTTGACCACGCTAGTTGACCTTGACATATTGTGTTGAACAGTACTACGACACGTGGGGCTACCAGCTGGTGAACGGCGGCATGATGCTGGTACAGATGTTCTTTGTGCTGTCCGCCTTCACCTTCACCTACAGTCTGCTCATAAGGAGCGAGAGGACGCCCCTCACTTGGGCCACATATCCTAAAATTATCTTGCTGAGGTTTTGGAGGTAAGAGAAATATTTTGGTCGATTCTAAGACAAGTGCGATTCATTTGAACCACGGAGTACATATTTAAAATGCGAATCTACGTTTCTATGTTTAGTCAGAAGAAAACAGACTAAAAAAATGATACTGATATTTTCAGCCTTTAAAAATAAATATGTCAGTAAATTGTAAAAATGCTACTTCAACTAAGTTTCAGTTTGAGTTATCAATTTCGACTGTGATACTAATTGTGGGTTTCCGAAACCAAACATATTGGCGATTTATTAAAGTAATATTTGTAAGTACATGTATGTACATTATGTGAAGGTTGAGCCCGGCGTACGCGTCGGTGCTCGCGTACACCGCGAGCTGGCTGCGCCACGCTGGTGGTGGTGGTGGTGGGGGCCCGCTGTGGCAGGTGGCGGGCGGCAGTGTGGCGGACGCCTGCCAGCAGTATGCCTGGACACATCTCCTCTACTTCAACAACTACGTTCAAGATAACAAGTTATGTGCTCTTCATACGTGGTACGTATAAGCTTCGGATTTAGCCTGCCTTTTGCTACCTAACCTTGTTTTGTAACTTATATAGTTGCGATCATTTAAATATCATAAGAGGTCGTGTCAAGTTTTTCCGGAACTAAAATTAGTAATGTTTTAGATAGAAGGTTGCTTTTGTCATAGGTACCTAGCGGCAGACTTCCAGTTGTTCGTGCTGGGTGTTGCAGTGGTGGTGGGCACGCGGGGCCGCATGAGACGGGTGGCGCTGTTTGTGCTGTTTCTTGTAGGCCTCCTCCTGCCGGCGTGGCAAGTCTGGCTGCAGGACTTGGACGCCATAGTACTAAAGAAACCAGAGTAAGTTAGTTGGTATTAGCGACGATTAGAGAAAAGCCGTGTTGAAGAATAATTTTACATTATTGTAACTATTATATATTAAGACTATTTTGGTTATATATTTAAAGTGCTATCAACACCGTGATTGTATCGTTACAATACAGTTAAAATTTAAAGGGAATATAATATGTCTGTGTAGGTTCTTTCGCAACTTTCACAACCCGACATTCCAAAAGATGCACATCTCGGGGCACGCCAACATCGTGTGTTGTGTGCTCGGCATCTACACCGCCCTCCTCGTCTACACCTTGCAGAACAACAAAGTGGACTTGTCAAAAAATAAGGTTAGAACTTGGGACTCGACTAAGAAAAGTGTAACCAATGATCGATCAGGAGGGGGAAACCTGGTGCGCCAACCCCATATAGAGTTGGATAAGGATAGGAGGATGATGATTGTTTCTGTTTTTATACTGGCTTTAGACGTGTTTAAATCAGCTCTGATCCGGTTCATTAGGTGATATAGACTTGTAACGTTGAGCGGCTCAACAACTAAATTAGCAGTTCTTAGCTCATCTATAATATTATACTATATAATAACTGAGAGTCGACGAGTCGCGCTTTGCCTGCTGACTAGCATTTCACAGCTCGAAACGTAAATCATGACTCTATGCCGGTCCAACTTGCGCTGAGTTGCGAGCCGCTTCATTGATCTGCTGTATGTGAACCGTGAGTTGATCTTCAGATCATCAACTCTCGCGGCTACAGATGTGTTGTGCGCAGATACTGAAGCACCTGTGCTGGATGGTGGTGCCGGGTGTAATGGCGCTGTTCGCGTCGTGCGTGCTCTTCTACACGGAGGAGCGCGCGCCGCTGCTCACCAGGATGGCGGCGGCGGCCCTGCTCCGCGTCGTCATGGCAACCATCTCCAGCTTCGTCATCGTCGCCCTCGTCATGAGGATCAACGGTGGGCTCAAGCTGGGATTAAACCTTTATTACCCTTTTTATCCTAATAGGATCAGTCATACAGATGAAAAATCGCTAGATGGCGTTGTCAAAAAAAGTGTTTAAATACAGATGAAGCATTTTAATACATTGCAGAGCGGATCAGCCGCCTGTTCGAGTGGGAGGGGTGGGTGGTGCCGGGCAGGCTCTCCTACTGCGTCTACCTCGTGCACCTCAACATGGTGCACGTGCTGCTCGCGCGCAGGACGCATCTCTCACACGTCTCCATCTACAATCTGGTACATACACACCATCTCTATATCTCGATAATGTAACGCTAACGCGTACAATTACCTGCTTTCGTTACTAAATAGATACCGCCAGCGCGGAAAAATATTTTTTTTAATAGCTTATGTGTTCGTCCAGAGTATACCAAATTTCGGCGAGATCCATGCAGATGTTTTGGAGATAGCTACTAACAACCATCCATCCATACATTCGCATTTATGATATCATAGACATTATGATATATGTATGTGTATACAATGCGCAGGCGTTGAGTTTTGTGGGTGTGTACGGGTTGTCTCACATGGCGGCGCTCATGCTGCACCTGCTGGTGGAGGCGCCGGCCTCGCGTCTCGCACGCGCTGCCACCGCCACTCATCTCAAGACCGCGTGATACTTCACCATACACAGAGCAAATGGCTACTCCACTAAAGTTATTGTTTTTTAAATAGATGGCGCTTTTCTTCATATTGTAGTGGAATTAATTGCTTTTTATTTTTTTAATAATTTATTAATCAACTTAAAAAAAATCAATACTTAAAATGTATGCTTGATGTTTAAGCAAGATTTTGTAATATTTTTTTTATTAAGTACTACAACACTTTGATGATTGTAACAGTTTATCTTAAAACAATAAATACATCTATGTACAATATACATAAATAAAAATTCGACTACATAGAACCAGTGTCCCTTTCTACCATTACATAGTAACGTGGTTATAAATTATTTTGGGCAGAATTTTCTCCATTGTCATCTAAGTTGACATCTTTGAACTTCTCCGTGACCTCTTTGGAGCTGTCCATTTCTATGACCTGCTCTAGAGTAAGTTCTAGAATTTTCTCCAGTGCTTTTGCTGTCACTTCGGAGGGATACTTTGGAATGTCTGGTACGTGGATAAATAATGTTCTTGTGTTATCCACACTTAGAGATGTATAATAGATGTATTCACAGAGGTATCTGGAAGAAAAACTTTCATAATTATTCATTCAAAAAGGGGTTACATGAAACTATAATTCACAGACCAGTGGGACACTGGCATCCCCGATCTCTCCAGTGCCCTAGACGGTTGCTCAACCGCACCCCATCCTAACGCCGATACAGTTCTGATTAACACACTTCATGCTACTTTGATTTCTTCATATGTGAGTAAACATGCCTGACGATTTATAAACATTAAATATGTTACAACAGTCATGTTTTACCTGCCAGCATCTTTAGAGGATATAGCACTGGTGTCATCCGTACAACTACCATTGAACTCCTTGCATATCCTCTCCACATTCAGCTTGGTGTGCAGTCGGATAGCACCTTCAGCCGTACAGATGTGATTGGCTGGACACTTGTCAAAATAGTCCATACGTTGGTAGCCCTTTCTGTGGGCCTGAGTTTCCAAAGTCATGCAGGAGGCCTCACTTGATACTCCCACATGGATCATAAGCTGGAAATTAGAGATAAAATCATTGGATAGGCATAAAAAATGGATACTTGAGATATATTATAAAATTTAGTAGCATTTATAACTTTAAAGTCGATTTTGTATTTTTAAACCAACTTCTAATAAATAAACCTAGTAGTAGCTTAGTATAGCATTTTTTAATTTTTGGGATATCCATTGATAAATTTTTATCTTCCATTTATTTTTTACAAAAAAACATGCAAAGTAGAAAATATTGTATTTCTCTTAGTTGTTATTACTAGTCTTTATAAAACATAAAATATTATCAACATAGTTTTATGCAGTTTTAATCTATGTGATAACATATCAGAGCAAATACTCTACAATACATCTGCAACAAAGCTATCAATTCTGTAGAACAATCACAATAGTTAATAAACACTTCACTTTTATGATGCCTGCTGTTCTCATTATCTGTTTGTAACATAATCTAATTGCAAATATACATATCCAATAGATTGTTGCAATAAATGTAATTAATATACTTTCCGATCACAATTATAGATTGATTCCCTAGCTTAATAGATGCCTTTTGTCTATGTTCTTTACACTAATTTCTATCCTTGAGGGCTCCCATGTCATGCTTGGACAGAAAACTAACAATGTCAACTTATATGTAAGAATAATTTTATAAATGATAATTATTCTCTTTTAAGTTTTTCTTAATTTTAGAAGTCCATTCACAAAATACCGAATTTCGAAATAATGCTAGTAATAATCATTTACAAATTTTTGTATTCATCAACTTGGTTACTAAATTAGTAAAATATTATTATCAAATTATGAACATATAGCATTATAAACTTAAATTTGTTTTTAAATTTTGGATTATCTTTTAAGTTATAAAATAATATAAAAATGCATTTTATATTTTATATTCCTAGATTGTGAGCAATTATTATAAAGTTTGAATACCTTAGGTGTATGTGTTTCCCATAGCGCCGGCACGAATTCGTCGACATTTTCGTAAGTAACTGGAATTTCTAGCAGAACCAATTCGATGTTGTGTTTTGTCTCCAACATTTCCTTGTTTATAAGTTTTACCGCCTCCCAGCTCGCATTTACTGGATGGTTTAAAAATGGTCCGAAGCCGGTCACCAAAACCAAAGGTTTAAAGAGAAAATCTAAATCGTTAGACATTACTATAGATTAAATGGAATGATTAAATTTTTTATTACCAACTGTGAAATTTCTTTTAAATACAAAACACAATTGCAACTGACATCAATTTGAGTTTGATAAGTTTTGACAAGCGACGATAACCAACAGGATTAAAGTCAGCTGATTTTCTTCACAAATATTGCCAGTCTGTTGACCGGATTGTCTTTGGTTTTATATGAATGAATTAATTTTTTTAGAAGCTTTGTCATGCGATGTTTTTCAAAAGAAAATATAGTAATATTGCATTCAGTTAGAGTACAATTATGAATTTATATTTTTATTGCAACCAAGCAAAATGGATTTATATAAGTAAAATATCCAAAATCCAAAGAAACAGCGAGTTTCAAAGTATTCTATAATGCGAAACATTGAAACATTCATTGCAGATTACAAATGTTTTTGATTTGATCTCTTTTTTCGGGGAGAATAAGAGACATGACTACAAGTTTTTTAATGTATCGGCAATGAAAATAAGTAATCATTTAAATAAAGTCAAACATTTTTAGTCAAACAGTTTTAATAACATTATAAAAATGCATGTCGTCCAAAAATATAATCTTACATAGAACACAGAACGAGTTGTCCTCTTGCCAAATATTAAAAATCACAATACACCTAATTTAATAAAACTATGTATAATTCCATTTAATCTGGATATTGCAAGTTCGTTCGGTTTTATTACGAAGTCTGATAAATCGGCCGTATCCATGCTTGGCGCGTTTTCAGCATCAACGGTCAGAAGAGGCACCATCATCATGCCCACGAAGATACCGTAAGGTTCGATCTGAAAACAATAATTCCGTTTTTAAACACAGATATTTAAACATTGCAACCACTGAATGCCTTCGTCTAAAATATTTTTTTTATTTCGAACAAAGGCAAAAGTTGTTAATTTTTTTTTCTAGATCAAAAGGTGGCAAACGAGCGAACGGCCACCTGAAATCGCTGAAATAGCGAAGTGACCGTTGCACGAAGACATACGCAATTGCATATGCGTTGATGTTAAAGCGGGCTCTACCACTGTTAAAATGTTAATGTTCATACATAAAGATATTAAGCTCTTATAAAAGTTGGTTAAATGAAATTTGTTTACCTTTCTAATACTAATTGGATCATAATATTGAAAACTTGTTTTTACTTCGATTACTTGATAAAATAACAAGTTTCGTGCCCAGCTTTGTAGCCATTTGTTGGGAATAATTTTATATGGTAGGTACATCTGTGTTTATTAGCATTGAATCCAGTTTATAGTAAATAAGTTAACCACTTTTACCTCTTTTATATCTGAATCGAAGGCTTCTCTCGGGTAAGTTTTGACTGCATCTACGTCCAGTCTCACCAGGGCGTTTGACAACTGTTCGTAGTAATAGTCTAACAGTTGATGATAGTGTTTGTCGCGGAACTCCTCGTCGGAGCCACCGAATATGTAGTACATGAGATCAAGAGCCGGGTTGCAGACCTTCATCATCTGGTAATCTACGGGTACTAGCTCCAGTCTACCGTCCTGGAAATATATTCATTAATTATTAATGTTGCCCTCCGTTGACGCTGACTCCGTCTGTGCGATGTAAAAAAACTTAGTAGCTTATGTGTTCTTCCAGACTTATATGTTCTACATCTATGCCAAATTTCAGATAGATCTATACAGTGTTCCGAGTATACATTCTGTTAAACCCCATCCATTTAAACATTCAAATATTCGCATGTATGATATTAGTAACATTTACAATGTACTTAATTTAATTTACAACGATTCGATGATTTCATCACAACGTAATTTAAGATAAGCGTTGCAAGAAAAGTGATGTCCTTATAAAATAAGTGGTTGTCAAGTAAAATTACGCAACTGACGAATGATCGATCTTACCTTGAAAGATAATTATTAACTATTCATAGTTAAACCTAAAATTATTTTGCAATTAAGGCTATGTACTCTACCGGATATACTTAATCTGTTTTTTCCTTATCGCAGTACTTCTTATAAGTACGTACTTATAAGGATAAGGAATTATACGCACAATTTGTTTCAACTTATGCAAAGATTCTATTCTCAGAATCTTGATTTAGAGAGCACGCGCTTTGCAAATTATTGAGTAAAATATTAGTGTGTATTCCTTTTTAGGAGCACTTAAAAAATCATTTCTACTGAAATAAATTTGTTACTGCTTGATAACAGATTCTATGTGTCAATTGTCTTCTATGAAATAATACAAAATGTTGCTTTTAGAACGCAGGAAAACAAGTTCTTTATGATTTAAAGATAAAGATTACAAGTAACTAATCATATATTATATATATATATATACAGAAAACTGCAATATGTCAATAAACAGCTATTATTGTATTACAAGTAAACAAGCTCACCCGATGACCTTTATAGCAACTTTGTTTAATCTGTATTGTAGAGTTATTGTAGTGAATAAATTATAGTTTTATATATCTTACCTCATGGACCCTGTGCATCAGGTTGCTAGGTCTGAAGTCGCCGTGTGTCACCACAGCACAATTCAGCGGCCTGTAATAATGAGAGGATTCCAAATCTTTCATCTTCTCGAGATACGTCACCAGTCTCCATCTGTTTTCTTCTTTGACAACGGCCAACGCCGATCGCGTCATGTGCTCCATCATTGGCTTGAAGTCTTCAGAATTAATATCAAAAGTCAAAAGTTTGGCTAAAATTTCGTACTCTTCCGGCTTTTGTTTCCTGAACGCTATCGACAGCGCGTGGAGTTTTGCGAGTTCCACTATCGACGTTGATGCGTACTCCCAGTCAAAACTTTTAAATCTGTCGTGTATGTCAAAGCCCAGCGACGATAGGTCTTCGAGAACTAGAGTCTCGTTCAAATATTCTTTATTGCAGCCATAGAATTTGACAGTGGCCAGTCTGTGTTCCTTTGGGACGTTATGTTTCTCTTCCAGGTCCTGGTAGTGCTTTAGCAGTTCTGTATAGAAATACATTTCAGTTTCGAACATCTTAAAGGGTGTTAATTTTCTTATCTTTTCTCCAACGCAAGCGATTTTGGCAAAAAGTTTGAGATCATCTTTGTCCGGTGACGTGATTGTGATGTGGAACAATTGTGAAGTGTAGTTGGCTCCTCCGGTTGTGAAGGACTTGAGTTCGATATGGCAGTCTTCGTAACCTTGCTCCTCCGCTATCTTCTGCACTAGGTCGCGCACTTGCTGCTCCGCGTCCGACATGTTGCGGATCACCGTCCTCACTGAGCTAAATTTATTACAAAACAAACTATGTCGTAATTGCTTTTACTACGCGACGCGACGATTTGGATGCTGTGTCGTAACGTTCTTTTTATAGCTTTCATGGTATTTAGCTTCTTAATTTTTATCGTTATCACAACTGATCACTATGCTATGGTTCCGATTAATGTAAATATTCTATCATTATCAAAGAAATTCTACCAACAAAATGATAAGTTACTATAAAAGAGTAATAAATATAGTTTGCAGTTTCCATACTCAATTCTAAATATGTAGTCTTTTAGGATGTTTCAAAAGTACTGCAGTGTCCATTGACCAGACATTTCTGGTTGTTGTCATCTATCCCTTCCTTATTCTGATTTTGTTGCTAAAATTTGAAGTAAAAAATTATACGGATCTGTAACACAATGTCGTTTCCGTGTCGTCGTGTATAAATGTCTTGCGGATATAAACCTGTCAGATTTCGTTTCTCAACGAGATCAACAACTTTTTATTCATGTTGCCAAAAAAAAAACAACAACAGATAACGCATGTGAAAAACTTTAAACGGAAACGTACACATAATATTGTTTGTTTGCGAAATCATATCAGACTGAATATATGTATGAGTGGTAATTAACTATATTCCTACATTCTAGACGGAAATTATTGTAACTACTATATAAAAAATAACTATGTACACTTAATAGATATGTTGGAATTGTTAGCTTTAAATTTGTACAATATATATATATATATATATTCATTATCATCAGCTCACTGTACGTCTCCACCGAGGGGCTCGGAGCCTACCCTAAGTTAAGGATGACTAGGCCATAGTCAACCACGCTGGCCAAGTGCGGGTTGGTTGACTTCACACATATCTTTGAATTTCTTCTCAGATACGTGCAGCATCACGATGTTTTCCTTCACCGTAAGAACGTCGGATAAATGTACATATGCAAAATCGAGAATCGAAAAACACATTGGTACATGGCGGGAAACGAACCCAGGACCTGCAGATTGCAAGTCAAGGGTTAACTTCTGGACCACCGACGCTCTCGCTATTATATATATTAGTTATAAAAATATGTGTTCTAAGAGAATGCAGCGGCTTGTGTTTGATAATTATAAAATTCCAACCTTCAATATCATTATTAATTGCGAATACGTCTATATGTAAAGCTGAATAGATAACTTGCAATATTTGTTATCTGTATCCAGAGTTTAAATATTCAGACAGTTCGGTAAGTGGCAAGCAAACGGTACATAAAAGATTTATTGTTAGCCATTTTGGATGTCGGTGATTACAGCGGTCATTGCGATGATATTCCGGCGGCCATTTCCTGTTGTTATCCTTTTAGAGATGTTATCTATTCCCCTAAATACTATATAATATAAATATAATGATTATCTTTTATTAAGGTATTTTTTTAGGATAGTAATAGACATGTGGTTGTATAAATACTAAGCCCCATACATACCTAATAACTCGCGCCGGGGTTTATGGTAATTATAACAATTTTTAGTACTCTATATTGATATTGAATTTATTTTGTATTATACACTATTTACTAGGTAAAAATATTTATTTTTAAATCAATTATTCTACTAACGCTTATAATGTTATCAAATAACATACGGATACATATACGCGCGTCTATTTTTTTAACAATTAAAGATGTGTTTAGACTTTCTTCGATTATTGCTCAAACTTTTAAATATATTTGTTTGTTAGTTTTTAAATAAGTTTTTGTACTAGGTGCCCTGGATATCGACATTTAAAATTGTAAATATTAAATAAATATAACACAAACTTTTCCGTATCCAATAAAGTATAGTCAAGATTTGTACCTCTGAACTCTTTTTTTTATAATAGAAGGGGGCAAACGAGCAGCGGGAACACCGAGGTGTTCAACGACGCCGATAGACATCAGCAATACCAGAGGAACCGCAATAACTGTTATGATATGTTTTCTATTGTATGATTTAAGTGATTTTTAGTAAACTTAAAGTACGCCCCATTTAATAAAGTCTTCAACGAGTTCGTTGAGTCGGGTAATTGCGAGTTGGTTGGGCGGGATAGCAAAATTTGCGAGGTCGCCCGAGGCAGTGCTCATGTCGGGCGCGTCCTCCGCTAGTACGGTTACCATGGGAACCATCATCATGCCCACCAACAGACCATACGGCTGAACCTGTAAATACAACATTTCTTTCTCAGTGAAGCAAAGAAGGTAATTTTTTACACGATAAAAGCATGCTTCCATTATTTCATAAAAAGTTATAAATATAACTAGTAAGTAAATAACCTATTATTATTATTTTAAAAATAAAGGCAAAGCTGAAAAACCTATTAAAAACTAAACAAAATGTTATTTCCCCACCTCTTTCAAATCAGCCTCAAAATTCTCTTTAGAGTATGTGGTGTCGACATCAACGCCTAGTCTTGTCAGAGCGTTGCTTAATTCCGTGTGGTAATGGTCTAACAGTTGGCTGTAATGCTGCCTGCGGAACTCCTGGTCTGACCCGCTGAAGATGAAGTACATAAGGTCAATGGCCGGGTTGCTGATGTTCAGCATCTGATAGTCCAACAATACGACCTCCAAATGCCCGTCCTGAAAACAATTTGAGGCATAACTAAAAAGGTAATTTCTAACACAGGTATAATGTAGGTAAAGAGAATTACAACTCGTCGGCCCAGTCTTATAATTTACCATTCTGAATATAAAGTCTTTAATGTTCTAACAATGAAGCTTCCTGAAGACGATTGGAAGTTTGTGTCAATTTTAATATAAGTAAAAATTAACTATTTTGTTAAATCAGGCGTAACGGTCTGTAACATGTAATTTGGTAGCAGTAAGTTGACCAGACTACAGTTTAGTTCAATGAGAATAAAATTAATCATAGTTTACTACATGTTGATTATAGGTCAAGATACTGTTGGAACTGTTGTTCTACTACTACGTACTACGAATACTCGTTGATTTTTGCTAAGTTGTTGGTCTAACGGATAATTTTTCACAACAATTATATTTTTAAATATCATCGTTAAAAATATACGCATTGAAATAATCTTTGAAGTATATTTATGAAGTGGATTTTAGTATAAATGTTTGTCGGACGTGCTGTGGTTTAGTGGTCACTTATTACATTATGTCAGTCGACCTACATCTGCAAAGATCGAATTTCTGTCGTGATGTTTCTATGTGCCTACGTGTGTTTGAAAATTTAAAAATGAACAGTACAATATTTTAGAATTTTCCAATTTCTTTATCAGAAAACAGTTAAACTACTTAAGAGTTAAAAGAAATTGTTTACCTCATGTAATCTATGCATAATATTGCTGGCTCTGAAGTCTCCATGCATTATCACTGGCTCATGCTGCACTTTGTAGAAGTAATCAAACTCATACTCTTGCGACTTCTTGATAAAAACTTCTAATTTTTCTCTATTCTCTTCTTTAATCACTGCCAAAGCCATGCTTATTACATTTTCTATTATCGTCTTGAGGTTTCCTGCTTTCATGTCATATTTCAATCGCTTGGACAAACTTTTGAACTCCTCAGGGCTTTGTTTATTCAATGCTATGGATAATGCATGTAGTTTAGCGAGTTCTGTCACCGCTTTTGATGCGTATTCCCAATCGAATGTTTTGAATCTATCATAGCTCTCGTATCCCTTGGAAGATAAGTTTTCAAGGATTAATATTTCCTTTAAATATTCCTTTTTGCAGCCGTAGAATTTGACAGTAGCTAGTCTGTGCTCTTCGGGTACTTTGTGTTTCTCTTCCAATTCTTGATAGCGCTTCAGCAGATCCGTGTAGAAATACATTTCCGTGTCGTATATTTTAAATGATGTTTGTTTGCGTACGTGCTCGCTTACGCATGCTACTTTGGCAAATAGATTAAGGTCATCTTTGCCTTCAAGTAAAAGAGTTACGTAATACAACTGAGACGTGTAGTTTGCTCCTCCTGTTGAAAACGGCTTCAGATGGATGCGACAATCCTTGTAGCCTTGTTCTGATGCTACTGTTTCCACTAGGTCTCTTAACAGTTCCACGTCCGACATCTTTCAGCTCGCAATTTGCACTGAGTTGTTGTACAAAAACAGTCCTACAAACTCTACTATATTGCGAGGGGACTGTTAGTGAGCCGACGTATTAGTGACGTCATCACAGCACTCAATGCATCTTGTTTATTCATAGCTATAAACTTGTGTATTATAATTGCATTGATAATAAATAGCGTGAAATGAAATAACTCAACTTTACCATTATTATAAATGCGAATGTTTGGATGGATGGATTTTTGGTATCTCCAGAACAACTGCACGGGTATCGCTGAAATTTGGCATAGATGTACAGTATAGTCTCAAATAACACAAAGGGTACTAAAAATGTTTCTTTTTAAATCCATGGGACAGAGCCGCGGTCAATAGCTAGTAAATAAATAAATTGCTTCCGAATTTACCAAGATTGTAAAAAGCTTCCTCTATTGTAAAGTAGTTTTTTTTTTACTGAAAACGGATAAATAAAGTTGTTGTGTCGATGGCTACATCTTAAAGGGAAGTACAAATATAATTAAAGTAGTTATGAACATAATTATCATAGTTTAATAATGTCTATTTGAGAGTCGTAAAAGTTAACAAGATAAATAATCAATTTATCAGGACATCAGGGAAAAGTATTTTATGTGTTTTAGCTGATTATATTTAATCTTTTAATAAAAAAGCATAACTCATCATCGCTACCAATCAGTCATAATCTGTTGTACGCTATTTGATATCGATGTTGATACGAAAGTTTTTGAATGATAAAAAAATTATGACTCATTATCTTGTAATGAATCATAATAAAAACATTTAAGTGTATACTAATAAATACTTGCGGCTTTGACTTCTTTCATTTGACACGTGTCTTCTGTGTGGTATTGCAGAGTGCGAGCGAGTTTGCTAATTTAAAATTTCCTCCCAGTCACAATTCTTGTATTATAAGGTAAAAAAAGACCTGGCGGCCATCGTGAATCGCCAAAAAAGCGAAGTGACAGCTGCAAATGGATATACGAATTTGAAGATGAGTTGCCTACCTTAATAGACAAAGGATGGAAAACAAAGCAATAGGATATTTCCCCCTCCTAAGCGTCCCCTCCGGCGTCAAATCGTTGTGAAGAGAACTAAACTTTGGCTTCCAGCGTTTCAGCTTTTCAGATCGAAACGCGGGATTACTCCAAGCCTGTCTTCTTTGTAGTTTTGCTAATTCACTGATCCAATCGACCCTGAAGCTTCTTGAAGCTGAGGGCTCTACCATTTTCTACTTACTTATAATTATCTGTGATTTGTAATTAAATAGTGATGTATGTAATTCAATTTGGTATATATCTTTAAAACAAGATAAAACGATTAGATAATATTTGTAGCTTTAAAGTTTAGTTACTATTCGAATATTTCCATTTGTTATGCAAGATACATAATTGTACATAACAGCCGATGACAAATAAAATCCGGGTAATACTTTAATATGAGACCAGATAAAAACAATTATATCAGTTATTATATGTTTTTGTTCGATAGCATTTGTATATTGAAATATAAACATCAAAGTTTAAAAATCATACTAACGATGAACATTACTGACGAATTGATAACCTCTTTCTTTCAAAAGTTGGTTAAACAATCGATTGAATGGAAAGTACTGATAGAGGACATTTGATTTGCCGATTAAGTATAAGTTTACAGTGGTAGAGCCCGCTTTAACATCTTCGCACGAATTGGCCAGGCTCGCCCGGTGAAATACCACGACCACACAGAAGACAGGCGTCAAATGGAAGCAATTCCGCTTTTCGTCTGATGAGTGTGCGACTCGGGGGCCTAATATAGTCCTCTTTCTCTTCCCACCGTTTTTCTTATAAGGTAACGATGGGAAGTGGAAGTGGACTTTCCGGATGAGAGGATGCATGGAAAGGGAAAATATTTTCTCTCTGTGCATCCTCTCCTCCGTCGATTAAAGGTAGAATACGCATATGCAATTGCGTATATCTATGGGCAATGGTCACTTCGCTATTTCAGCGTTTTCAGGTGGGCGTTCGCCTGTTTGCCACTTTATAATATAAAAAAAGTCAAGTCTCTATACATGATTATTCATATAATAATGGACAAAATATTTACTTAGTAATTACAGTTGTAAATAAATACCTTTTTAGTGGAGGACAGAATGTCTACTTATCATTGTGTTTTTTATTAAATGTGTTATTGTTCGTTGTTGATTGTTTCCTGGGTTTTTTGTACAAAGATGTAGTATATTCAATCGACGAGAAAGAACGTAATTCTTAAACTAAAGATCTTTTAAAACTTATCATTATCAATATTATTTAAATATTAATGTATAATGCGGCCACTAGATAACAATCGACTAAAATCAATTGATATCGACTTCTATGTACTAAATATTTTTTTATTTAAAATAATAATCGTCCATTACTCAATGTAAAGTAATCAGTGATCCGCGAGACAGCGACGATGGCAGACGTGCTTGCTCTAGCGCAGCTGGTGAGAGAGAAGCTCGCCGACGAACGTCCGGAACCGGAGGTGAAGGTCGAAAGGTTTGACAGTGGCGGTGCCAACTATACCTCTGCACTCTTTAAAATACTCGTCACGCGGAGCGGACGCGATGATTTGTATCTGTTTGCGAAGGTCGCTTCCTTCAGCCAGGCCATGAGAACGAAGGTGAACACCGACTGGATCTACTCCAACGAGCAGTTTGTGTACACGACGATGGTTAAGATCTACGACAATCTCCAGGAGAGCCACGACATTCCGCTGGAACATAGATTCATCTTTCCCAAGTACTTCGGACACAGATCGACGTATGGCCACGAGGCTATCGTCACCGATGACCTGGGCGTCCAGGGGTACAAATGTTTCGACAGACTCGCCTCCATGAATTGGGAGCAAGCTTCGAAGTCGGCGGAGATTCTTGCCAAGTTCCACGCGCTGTCTTTCGTGTTTGCACATGAACAACCCGAGGAGTTCGAGAAGATAGCAGCAGGAATGCAGTACGGTATTGGTGTGAATGGGGATGAGGCCGCAAAGGAAATTTATGTGAAGATGGTGGAAAATTGTTTGGCGACGCTACCAGAAGACTACAGGGACAGAGTGAGAAAGATAGTCTACAGCGAGGACGTGATGAAATATCACAATAAGCCAGTAAAGAAGGTCGTACTGGCGCATGGCGATTTCAGACTCAGCAATTTGATGTTTAAAAGAAAGGTAAATTAAACGGGAGGCTTTACATCTCTTTGGTGATTGAAAATTATAGAAGAGTCTTAATTTTATCGAACTAGGTTAAAATTAACGACATTGACCGACATTTGACTCCTTTAGTTGACCAATCTATAAAAGTATGTCGACGCACTCATGCGTTACGTGCCTCAATGACCTCAATAACAGTTGTCGCCATAATGTTTACACCATTTTTCCAACATCATGGTGGTTAAGGTGGTCTATAGAGTTCATATCGAAGTGATAAAAGATACAGAGTACAGATTTCCATAAGCATTGCTACATTATATTGTTCTGCTAAAGTTATTAATTTATACTCTGCGTCAAAACGACAAAAATGGGCAGAATGTACTGATTATATTATGTTTTTTTCCAGGATGGTGTTTTGCACGCACGAGCTGTGGACTACCAGATGATGCATGCCGGCTGCGCGCTGGCGGACCTCATTTACTTCATCACTGTCGGTTCTGATAAGCAGTTCCGGGACAAATACTTTTATAAGCTTATCGAATACTACCGGACGCAATTAGAACTTGCGCTTTCGAGGTTTTCACTCGACATTGAAGAAGTATACCCCAAGAAAATATTTGACGAGGAACTAGCTGCGGTGAGTAGATCTCAAGCCAAGACTGCATAATATTTAGCTAGTGATAAGCTTAGCTTAGCTAGTGATAAAAGTCTAGAGCGTTGGTGGCTCAAAGGTTTAAGCACTTGACTTGTAATCTGCAAATTCTGGGTTCGAATGCCAATGTGTTTCAGTTCATATATTGTCCATCTAATTTGTAAAATGCGGTGACTAGAACCAACAGTTCCGTCAGTTTTAACTGAAACCTTAATCTCCTCAGGTACTGCCTCTTGCCGTGGTCATCGGCGTGATGATCCTGCCGCCGGTGATAGCGGACGCGGACGATGCTCCCAAGGCGGGGAGCAATTTCGACGTCTTTGAGTCCATGGTGAAACCGGGCCAGCTGTACACGGAGCGATTTAACGAACTCATACAGGACTGTATAGATTGGGGCGTTGTATGATTTATATTGATGATGATACTATAACATCAGCGTAATGAGAAGGAAATTGTTCGAGGCTATAGTTCCTTGTTATGTTTTTCGTTTTACTTAAACTAAGTTCACATTGCCTAGCACCGTCGCATGGGTTATGTAAACGTACGTAAAATCTACAGTTTCACATTTAAAAGTTATTTCAGTATTATGTGGTTGTTGTTTTACCATAATATTAACAACTGGTTTGGTGCTAAGAATTTTTATATTGATAGGTATTATTATAAACAATATTTTTTTTTTACTTTACGTGTACACACAAAATTTGGATTAAAGAGATTTTAAAAACAAATTATGTATTTTTATTTAATCTATTTT